ACATCTATATATCAATACAATATGTTCGACATATCTACATAATACATATCTATATAAATCGATCCATCCATCCAATATGTTGGATGGGGATTGATCTGACCTACCGAGTTCATTGGCCTCTGCACTGCTGCAGAGTTTCTCATACTCTTCTCTTTGCACTTTGAATTTATTGAGTATGACATCCGTCAGCTTATCACGATGTGCCATTTCTTCCTGTAAAACAACGAAGTTTGTTGGAAACGAGGTTTGCACCAGAAAATCAACCAGGTTTATCAAAGTGAACCAACATGTATTATTGAAGTAAATCAACTTTATACAATAGAGCCTAGGATATTCTGGCACATAGAATGCTCGATCTCGAAAATGGTTCGAATGCACATTAGGTACTATACGATATTTCTAGTTTGTGCATTGCCATGCACCCCCTAAAAAAACGAGTTTTTAGTTTATAAACTGTTTGACAAAAAAAGGAAGATTTAGTACAAAACTGTCGTCCCTATCGTGCCTGTAATGTCATTCATACTTTTGAAGTGATCTCATGTACCAGACTCCAAATACTCGCATTGATAGCCTCAGGTTATCGAGTGGCAATGGCACACATAAGGTATGCGCGTGCGCAAAACAACAACAAACATTGAAAGGACAAACAAAGCCCAAGTAACCAAAGTCGCACACAATAGCATTGACCAAAAGCGCAGGAGAGAGATGCAAGCACATACGCACACTCGCAGATACGATAAAAAATTCAGTTTTTTTGGGGGTTTTAGGGTTTAGGGTTGCTCGGTGGTGTTCGTGCTCTCACGAGTGGTACCTTGTATTGGTCCTCCAGCGCCTTCAACCGTTTCACCTCCGTTTGGAGTGCTGTCTGAGCCTGCACACTCTTGGATTCTTCGAGTGTCGTTTGCATTTCCTGCAGGTAGCGTTTGGGATTTAGGGTTTAGGGTTTAAGTTTAGGGCTTCGGTTTTAGGGTTTCCTACAGTTGATAGTGCAATAGCAAGGCACCATATAACTAATTACATCAGGGACCTCGTAGAAAAGGGGCAATCGTGCACCTGACCTAAACGCACAGTCATCTAATGGTTAGAGACGGTACATACCTACATGCACAATCACCTAATGTATATAGAAGGTGAGATAGTAATCACCTAATGTATATAGAAGGTGAGATAGTAATCATCTAATGTATATAGAAGGTGAGATAGTGCATCTATTTGTGCTTGCACTGCAGTTGCCCATGGCCCTCTGGATGAGAGAGTCTCTGCGAAGATACTATGTGCCCAGAAACATCACGCTTTGTGCAAGACGCACGCAGGGGGTCATGAGATATACAATAGCTCACTGCTAAACCGCCCACTGCTTATACATATACAACAGCCCACTGTATGAAGTCTCACCAGACGCCCTAAATGATGGGTCTCATGATGCAAAATGCCTACAGCTACTCACCAGACATGTGCCTTACCGTAGCTATACACAAGTACACGTATATATGTATGCAGCTACATTCACGTACACTTGTATATGCAAGAAGCTATGTTCAATTGTACTTATATGTATGCAGCTACATTCAAGTACACTTGTATATGCAAGTAGCTATGTTCAAGTACACGTATATATGTATGCAGCTACATTCAAGTACTTTTATATATGCAAGTAGCTATGTTCAAGTACACGTATATATGTATGTAGCTATGTTCAAGTACACTTTAAGATGTATATAACTATACTCAAGGGACATATATGGATGTAGCTATATTCAAGTTCACTTATGTATGTCTATAGCTTTCCTCCTCCAGCACAACCACTCACCGTGATCTGCAGCTTCATGTCCCTGCGCGCGTTCAAGGCTTTCAGTGCATCCATCTGTGCCTGGTGCACAGCACTGGCAAACTCGGCTAACTCTCGCCTGTACGCACTTATCATAGGCGACTCCTCTGCCTCAATGAACGAGTTACTAGTACCACCACCCAACTCTAGCGAAGTATTAGAGGGTGTTGCTGTATATGTGCAGGAACGTGTGTTTAGATAAATATTAATTAATATATAAATATATATATATATACATACATATATATATATATATATATATATATACATATATATATATATATATATATATATATACTCACATGTACATAAAGTAACCCAGTGTATATGCATATCTGTGTGTGGGTATACATATGCCTGACTGTGTGTAGGTATATATGCATGTCTGTGTATAGATATATATACATGTCTGTGTGTAAATATATATACATTGTCTATGTGTAGGTATATATGCAAGTCTGTGTGTAAGTATATATGCAAGTCTGTGTGTAGGTATATATGCAAGTCTGTGTGTAGGTATATATCCGTATATGCTCACCTGACAATCCCACAGAAGACGGTGCTGTACGGCTGCGTCTGCTTTGTGCGGAAAACTTCTGTGCCTTACCCACAGTCCACACATTGTCAGCTGAACATGCTACGTTGAGATCATCCAGTTTGATCTGCAATGGCGGGGGCTTGGGCAGGCCTGCAATGTGGGCGTATGAAGCACGTGTAAAGTAAATATTGAAAGATGGATTTCGGATTAGGTTCGAAATAGTACGTAGTAGGAGTATATATCTACTCACACAAAAATATATACTACAATATAATTAGTGTTAGTAT